TCAAAAAATTTTAAATGCATCTTATATTTTCCATTTAAATATCTACTTTCAATTTGTTTATTTCACTTTGCTAACATATTAAGATACATTCTAATAGTAGACATTCATGAAATGTTATCCGTCTGTTTTCAAGAAATGAAGTTTTCCCAGTTTTTAATGCTTATTTTTTGTTGAAATTTTTTTTAAAAAAATACTAAGACATATTTCTTGTCATATTTGTTTTTATATACACTTTTTATTAGTAAACTCCAGCCTATAATATCAATTTTTGAAAAATGATATAAGGAGAAAACATAAAAAAAATATTAAATTACAATTTAACATACTGGAAGGTAGCGGTATTTCAAATCCTCCTAATTTGGGTAAATTAATATGTAGGAGCTCGAAGTTTCCTTTGGTATCCCATGCCACCTAAGCAGAGACTGAAGTAGACTTCCGTAAGGTTATACATGTACAATGCTCAGATACATGTACTATGAATGACAAGGATTATTTTGACTTTGGTGATAAAGATTTGCAGAAGATTTGCTTAAACCTTTGGGATTTTAAAAAAAAAAAAATAAGTGCCAAAAAATTTGATTTTCGAGTTCCTGAAAATAAATAGGCATACATGTAGTGTAGAAAGCCAAACGAGGTTTTTTTTTTCATGTTACGGTATTGTATTGTTTTGAAAATTCATCTTTGCATTTAAGTTGTACATTTCTACATATTATTAAACTAGATCCAATGTAACCTCTCTCTCTCTAATCAGGTTAGCATATTTTATATAAGTGAGAACAATTTTATTTCCATCGGTAGTTTGTGTTTTTTTTAAGTGCTTAATCCAAAATTTAAAGTTGATTTTTGCAACAACAAACATAAGACGAGACAAAAATTAAAAAACAACATTTTTAAAATTAAAATTCAAGTTACTTTTACAATTTCATGTCAGCATGGTCAAAATAAATAGATAGCAGCTGATTTTAAAAAATGAAAAGCAGTGTTCAATTTTGCATCTAATTCCCAGGCCATCCTTAAATTTTTTTTTTTTTTGGTGGTAACGCGACTCATCATTTTAGATGTGAGTAGGTAGGTAGGTTTATTTTTTTTTTTTATGGTTGACAAATATCGGGAATGATTTAATTTTAGGTGTTGTAATTTTAACACCAGATCTGATGCACCCAGATTTTTAAAACTTATAAGAATCACAAACTCTTACTAAATCATTTGGACAATTGCTGGCACACTGCAAGTTACCAAGAAAATTTTGTCGGTTTTAAAGCACATGTCATCTTGATCGATGGTTTAAGTGCTGAACATGACCTGTCTCTTCAATCACCAGGAGTCCACCTTAACCCCATGTCTAATTAGTTTTTAATTTCGATCTAAAGATCAAATCACAGTTTTAAATTAAATTATACAATTACTGTAGTCATAGGTGTATTTACATTCTTCAATTTATCCTGCTGCATTTATAATTTCATGGCTTCTATACTCTCTCTCTCTCTCTCCATTTTTCTCTGATTCAGTATTTGACATACTTTTGAAAACCATTTTGATGTGAATAGATACAAAATGTGTAATAAAATTCTTATCTAAAAAATAATTGTGCTGCATATCAAAGAATTTTTTTTAATAAAAGGGTTTGAACATTAATGACTGATTTTTAAAATTCATGTAGTAGAGTGAATTTTTTTCCTTTTGATTTTTTTTTTTGTCAAATCAACACAAATAAACAGATGTGATACTTTATAATGACAACCAACCTTCGTATTTCCAACAATTAAAAAACACTGAAAAAAAGAAGAGATTTTTTGCTTTACCTTTGAACATCATTTTCATCATGATCCATTTATTTACTAGAACTGTTCAGTGTGGCATTTACGTAATACGTATGTATTGAAGTTGAACAGTTAAATGACAAGAAAATAATGTATCCAGTATAAAACATCTTTAGTCATTAATTGAATGTATTCGCATTATTTATGTTTATAGCTGGAAAATACGACCCCATGTTGATTTAATCTACTAAAATTTTGAGAACTGTCGCAGTGAAAAACTACATTGGATGGAAAATATAACAATTTTCCCAGAGGCACTTGCTTCGTATACGGGGCACCCTCTAATAAGTAGCTGTAGGGGGTGCCCCGTGTACGAAACAAGTGCCTGTGACTTTTCCCTCAATGACGATTTTAACGTTTTTAAGATAGTGATAAAAAATGTAAGACGAATAAAATCTCAATCTCTTGAAAACCTGGCAAAGTTTTAAGCTTAAGATGACATTTTCAACCCAAATTCCCTCTAGCTTCATAGTAAACGCGTGTATCAATGACAGTAATCATAGAAGTGTTTCCCACGGACTTGTCGTCGCCATTTTTAAACACGGGTTTGTCGTGATCATCAGAATGCTTTTAATAGTTGCATTAAGGAAATCAAGTGTCTCTATAATTCAGACATCAAGAAAAAATTGGTCGGATAAAAACTGAAAGTAGATGCCTTGTAAAAAAAATACATACAGTAAAACTTGTTGAATCCAGATGTTGTGCATTCCGGCATGTTGTTCAGTCCGGCGTAATATTTTAGTCCCTTGAATTTTCTTTATAATTTGTGTTTAATAAATGTTGTTCAATCCGGATCTTACCTATTCTGTAAACCGGCAGCTATTTAAAGAACTAACTGCTCATAATTAGTACAAATTATCTCCTCTAATCTGGCCACTTATTTTTACCTGTGCCCGCTGGTTATTAGAGAAGTCTCGCGTGGGGTAATTATTGTCCCGTAATGATCTATCCTGTATTGACAGTTTAGATTTTAAAAATTTTGATAAAAATGTAAGGAGAGGAAACTCGCAAAAGAACGAGTGATAGTGATGATTGCGTGTAGCATGTCTCTAGAAAAACTTGGAGACTTATTCATGACCTCCTTTCTACTTTCGTTTTGCGTGCAATTCGAATTACTTCCCTTTGTGTCGCTAGTTTACAACGACCATAACGACAGAAGACTTTGGTCCAATATATTCATTATAACATTTGAAATTAACAAATACAGTATCAAAATATTCAAACATATTAATTTTAAAAGAAAGAAATTAATTAGGAATCTGTCCCTAACAAAATAATATTTACAGCCACGATGAGGTTTTGGAGTGTGTTTAAAACATTTAACGATTTTCAAATTTATTAAATGACCAAGAGATATAATATTTCGTTACTAAATAAAAATCTTAAACAGAAATGAAAATTCTGAAGAACAGAGTTCAAAATAAATGAAATAGACGATTTTTGCAAGTGAAACATAAAAAATTAAACATTTGATCAAGTATTTATTTACCACTCTTTGTTTATATCTATGTAATTTTTAACTTGCTATAACGGTTTCATTTTCTCCAATCCGGATGTTGTCTAATCCAGCCAAAAATTTTGGAACCGCTCGTCACCGGATTAGACAAGTTTTACTGTACTTTGAAAAGGTAAAAAAAAAATTGGGTCGGGTGGATTTTGATGAGTTGGTCATGTTACTGCAAAAAAAAAATTTTTTAAGGATGGCCCCATCTGTATTTTTTTTTTCTCTCTCTTTTACTTTAATAAAAGCTTGTTCCCAAAAATATTTATATGAAAAAAAAAATGGGCTTTTAGCTATAGATAAATAAGATTTTTTAACAATCCAGTAGCAAAACCTTGTGAACACGGTGAGTGATGAAATGTGTATAAGAAAAAAAAAGTACACTTCAAAATGAATTTTCCTCTCTGGTACCTCTCTAGTACATCGATTGTTAGAGTTACCTCTCCTGTTTTTATTCATAGAAAAAGATCTTGTATGTTTTTCTTATGCTTTTTTGCTATATATTCATAAAAACTTGCAGAAAAAAATACATTTCTTTTCTGTTGGAAGGAGTGTGCTGAGTTTCAATTTTAGGCATAAAACATTTTACAACCAAAAGTTGATGCAATATGCACTGATGATTTGACAATGTTTACAAGAATCATGATCAACTTAAGTGTTGAGAATGGTGGAGCTGATCTTATAGAGAAAAACAATATCCTCTACAATATTTTAATAATATATATATTCAAGTCTAATATGTAACTTTAAATTGGTCTTATCAAAATCGTATTTCTTTGTCCATTGTCAGAAAATCACCTTTTCTGAATTAAGAAGTAGGAAATTCTGTATGCATTAACATGGCTAAGATCAGATAGCTAGTACAAAAAACAATTTCGAATAAAATTCTAACATTTTGATTAAAACAAATGGACATAGAAGCTCCAGAAACAATTTAAATATATAAATAAAATTAATTACTTCAATGTTTAGGAACTATGACAAAAGGTAGACATGTCAAAACATTAAACACATGGATAAAGAAAAATCTGTGACGACGTTTGCGCCGTCTGCAATGAAAAATTTTTATGACGCTATTTCTCTGTTCTAGAAAAATTGCCATAAGGCCCTATGTCATGGCGGCAATCATATATATATATATTTAAGGAATCACTGTCTAGTTAGTAGAGTATGCCAGGATATCAACGATAATTGGAAACGTGGGATAATTTGCATAACGGGCAAAGCCCGTTATGCCAAATTATCCCACGTTTCCAACCATCATTGATGTCCCTTGCATACTCTACTAACTAGACAGTGATTCCTTATATTTCCATTTCACTGTGAAATAAAATTGTAAATTTAGATTTTAAAAATGTAGACTAATAGATTTAAATTACACGAGGCCTCACATGTCAATTTCAATAGTCCCCGCCCACTGACGTCAAACACAAAGACAGCCGCACGAGAACTACATGCATAATAGGCCTTCTTAGCTCCTGACCTTTCGCTTGGCGAAATTTGCATTCCGGTAGAATGTTCAAGAAATCAACTCTCCTAACTTTCAAAGAGTTATCACAGAGAAAACAAATAGAAATGGAAATATATATATATATATACACACACACAACATCAATATTCTATAATTCAATCTCAATTACACATAAAAAGTTAAAAATTCTTCTTTGTTCATAATTTACCTTGAGAAACTTTGGCATTTCGTACTTCTCCACGAGTTATCCACATCTTTTTTTCTGGATCATAGTATTCCAATGCACTTTGCTCCCTAAATCCATCTGACCCCCCAACTGCATAGATGAAACCTCTTACGGAAGTGACATTGAATCGTCCTCTTGGCACTGTCATGTCTGCTAGTGGAATCCATTTATTGTTGTTAGAATCAAATCTCTCAGATGTTCTAAGACATTCCGAACGGTCATATCCACCTACAAAAAATTATTGAAAGTCTACCTCTGTCATAAACAAGAGACCCATGGGCCACATTGCTCACCTGAGCTCATTGGCTAGAAAGAAGCTGAAATCAATTCAGTATTGAACGGGGAAGGGGATGGGCAAACTTTAATTTACACTACCTCAGGAGCTTCCATATCAATATTACTAATCATAGCTTTGGTGTTCTTAAACAGAAGAATTTAAAGATTTTTTACCTATGTTTTCCACAGTCATGGTAGCTCATTCTGTAGAGCTCTTGCTCCATGATCAGAAGGTTGTGGGTTCGAGCCCTGGCCACGACTGACCTAAGTAGATAAAAAATAGGTAGCAACTGTTTCTTTCGCCAGGCGCTCAAAAGTTGTGGGTCCTTCGGATGAGACCTTAATAACCGAGGCCCCGTGTCACAGCAGGCATTGGCACGATAAAGATCCCTCACTGCTCAATGGCCCTGAGTGCCGAGTAAAGGTCCAAATTTGATTATCTCCCCTTTGAAGGGGGATTGGCCCTTCAATTTTACAATTTAAACTCCCCTTTACCCAAGGATGCTTTGTACCAACTTTGGTTAAAATTGGCCCAGTGGTTCCTGAGAAGAAATTGAAAATGTGAAAAGTTTACAGACAGATGGACGACGGACAACGGGTGATCAGAAAAGCTCACTTGAGCTTTCAGCTCAGGTGAGCTAAAAAAAAAAGGATATATATATAGTATGTGCAGTAAAATTGGATGAAATATCGTCAGCTCATTTACTGTATATTTATTTAAAATCAATAATTCCAACATAAATTACCTTGATATTGCTAAATAATCCACCTTATAACAGTAGCATTATTTTTTTTTTTTTAATGTCATCGTTTCTAAATGCATTAAAATGCAGTGTCCACAATAAGCCCGTGCAGTTGCGTTCTCAGTTACATGTAGCTAATGCATTTATTTTTCTGCGAGATTTGATCACAGTCATTGGTTTCTTAAAAAAATATGCCTTTGTATATATACATCTGATATAAATATTAGAATGAAAAACGATGATAGATAGAGATGGTAACAGTATTAAACACGTGTACATTTAGGAATATGTTGCACCATTAACTGCTAATATGTAAGACTGTAGAAGTAATATCAATATGATCTTTTTTTTTCTCATTATTGTTTTTAATAAAATCATTACATCCTACATATATATTCAGGATAATTTCATAGCTAGTTTTTTCATTTTCTTTCTTTTTGAAATTAATATGATCATGCTCATCAGTACTGATTTTTCATTTACACACATCCTCAAATCAAAAGACCCTCTTTTATCAGCTGACTTTGGGCCCTAAAATAATTTGAACATACAACACACAACAAAAAAAATGATTATATTCAGAGACAAAATGAGTTATAGTGATAGGCTATGAGTTTTAAGATTTCTGTTTAACTGGCCAATACCTTCAGATTGCGTAATCTTACATCGTGAAGTAATAATGGTGGTCTAATAAATAAAATGTCTTGGAAGCAGTTAGTTTAGTTAAATAGTGTCTGTGACTGTTACTCTTTCCATGTGTTTCAGAAACTCGATCGTAGAATTAGACAATCAAAGTCCACAACTGGTCAATTAATTGATAAATCGGCTACAGTATATTATTATCTGTTCACAGAAACGACTATTTTGAAACTGAAAAAAAATCCAGAAGCAATTCATTTCATTGAAATTTTATCATGAATATTTTGTCTTAATCGATGGACTTGATAAATCAATAAACTGATTGAAGGGAAAATGATGCATGTGCCATAACATTTTGTACGATTTTTTAATATTATACTTATGTAATACATGCACAAGTACATATATGAACAGAAACATAAATATTAAGCCCGTCAGCATTTACAGAAAATTGTAATAAACATAATTTGATTTTATTTATTTCATTTTATTCAAACTCTATTAATTTGGTATGATTGATCTTTTTCCTTTTAATATACACTCAGGGTTAAAAAAAAGAAAATAAGTATATATTGACTCGCGTAAATTTCATGGTTGTAATTTCATTTGAAAATGAAGAAATTATGAAACATTGAAGGGACTGGTGTGTTATATGGCTAGACAATGCCTTGCACATTCAGGGAAATTTACCCCAGGTACTCCGGAACAGGTGTGAAACCCCCAGGGCATAACGTTTCCTGCTCTTGGTCTGCTAATCCCTATACACAGGAAATGATCACAACTAATACTTAATACACAAAGAAACAGAATATGTTGAAGTAAACTTGGCATTTGATTTTTTTCTTGAATATTATTGAGAATAATAAGTTTTAGTGATATAACCCCCCCCCCCCCACACACACACACCCTGTTTTAATTGTGTTGTGGAGTTCATCACCTTGCACATCCATCTTCTGTAATTGGAGAAATGTAACTAGAAAACTGACCAGTCAGCAAGGGCCCCGCCAAGGGGTAGAAATATAAGGGTGCAGCTTACAGAATGAGAATTTTAATTGATTACAAAAATTAAAAAATATATGAAGAAGAATATGCAATAACAACTGTATTTATAAAATTTCAAGATAATTCCTAAATATCCAACAGCCTGTAAAGAGTAACCCTGTATTTACATAAGGCAGTAAAAAACATCATATCTATAATGACTCAATTAAATGTTTATTTAAACAAGAATAAATAATGTGTTTTATAAAATGCCAGCCTTCAGTGAATGCAAATATCACCCAGGCTTGACCTCAACTTCAAAACAAACATAAGTTGCAGACAAAGGTTAATTTATCTTAAAATGACAAATAAAGATAAGCCTGGAAAATTTTCTGCCCCATACAAGATAATTAATCCCAGGGGATTAAATGTACTGCTCTCTCATCTTTTCTTCCAAGTTTACAATAAGAAATTTTTCAGTAATGATAGAATGAGTTTATTATCAGACTACCTGTTAAAATTAATAGTATTCTTGAATTTACATATGGCAGCAAAAAAAAAAAATGAATAAATAAAATAAATAAATAAATAAAAAAAAATATCTTGGTTTCAGAATTCAATAAAATCATAACTCATTGTGTATTTTACCAAAATATGAACATTATTTAAATCCACATTTCAGAGAATGTAAACATCATTCAGAATTGACCTTAACTTCAAAACGAACTTCAGCAGACAGAGGTGTTAATTAATCTCAATTTGACAGAAATAGATAATGCTTCAAGAGGAAAGTTAATTAATCCCATGGGATTAGTTGCAGCTTTCATAGTTTACAATAGGAACATTCTCAGCAGTTATCTCTCTTTGCCCTGGCATTCATTCTAATGTAAAGTTAAGGAATCTACCCCACCACCCCAGCTCCAAACTGGATGACTTGGAGAACCAAACTTAGCATCAAAATATGTCTTACTGCCTATTCAACTGACATACCAAATCTGAAATTAATTGGTCAACTACAAAAAAAGTTATTAGAAAAAAACAGAAAATTTGTGGACGGAAGAATGACAGACGGACGGACAGACAGACAGATGAATGGACAGACAGACAGAGTGATTACTAAATGGCACCCGCAAATCCTTGCGGGGCTCTAATTAAATTAAAAACAAAACACTGTTTACCAAAGAAGAAAATATCGAGGAAAAGAAAAATTATGTTACATTTTATTGATATCTTGTATAATGTTCATGCGCCCACTCACAGCAAACTCTCACCATCGAATATGACAGCTTTCCGGATGCTCGACAATTTCAGAGAAATGCTTGCACATTTATACAATAAAGTGAAATTAATTAAAGGAATTATACTGTTCTAAATTTGGTAAAAATACAAAAACATAAACAGTATATAGATGTATTTTTTTCCTCATAGGAATGCTGAAAACTTTAATCGGAACTGACTGTTGTTTAGCATGTGTATGTAACATTATTCACATATAATTTGAAAAGAGAAGTTTTTAGAACTTATATTTCTGACATTAAAATTTGTCATGTTAAACTCTCAAATGACACAGCTTATAAAAAGTTTTCTTGATACTATTTATAACAAAAGATATATCACTTTAGTATTGATATATATATCCCAAAAAAAAAAAAATTAAAAAAAAAGTTTGAAATATCTTCTGCTTTACAAATTCTTTTTTGGAGTTTGTTCATTGTTTTCACCTCACTGTTGCAAAATAAAAGAAAATACTTTCATAAATATACGTTCACTGCGGATTTTTAATTCTCTTTTTTAAAGAAGGAATTTCGCAAAATTCCTGTTCGGGGAGATAACTCCCGTTTGTTTACGATACTAGTTGATCAATGATTTAACCGCAGCGGGGACAGGTAGGTGATGAATTTCCTGCAGAGGGAACACGGTTTACCTGGCCAAATCCCGTGTTGTGTTTATACCGTGACGGGGAACGGGAAATACAGGATCCGTGTTGCCTGTACTGTAGATACTGTGGTGGAAAGATGCATTAAAACATTACAAATAGAATGACAATTGAAAACAATTTTTTTTTTACCAGATAAGTTTTTTAAAATTGATTTTTTTATTAACTAGAAAACTGACCAGTAAGCAAGGGCCCGCGCAGCACAGTTAAGGCTTCAAAAAGTAGGCGGGGCCTAATCTTTAAGGGAAATATTAACTATGACATCACACGAAACTAACAATCCTTATAAATACATCAAACTGAATTGATTTGCAATTTTACACTGTAGGAGATAATTAAACTACATCAAAACTTACTATAACATGCGTTTTTGTTGTTAGTTAAATCCCATATAGCAAGGTTTAAACAAGTCACTGATTGCACTGCACTTGTCGATATGATGTCATCTGTAAAACTTGACGCATTTTGTATGCAGTGAGAGGCGGATCAAGTAATATTTTCACAACGGAGAAATGTATTTTATAAATAAAATATTATTTGAAGATTTTTAGGAGGCCATTAATTTGGATGCAATGTCCTTTTTATGAATTTGTTCATATATTTCCCCTACATTTCCTAATTAACGGATACTGCCGTATATTTGTATGCAGGTA